CTATAGGGGCCTCGATGCCATCACCGTTAAGAACCCGGAGCCCCTACCCCGCATTGACGACCTCTTGGATAGAGTGCAGGGATGCCGGTACTTCAAAAAGATAGATCCGAAGTCCAGATACCATCAAACTGTCGTTAGGCCTGAGGACCAACACAAAGCCGCATTTCAAACCAGGTACGGTCTGTACGAATTTGTGGTGATGCCTTTTGGCCTACGCAATGCGCCTGGTACGTTCCAGCACGCGATGAACCGGATATTTCATGAGTACTTGGACAAGTTTTTCGTCGTGTACCTCGACGATATGCTTATCTTTAGTAGGACTGTAGAGGAGCACGCTGAGCACTTGAAAACAGTGCTAGGTCTCCTAAGACAGCACCAGTACAAGGTAAACTTGGATAAATGCGAGTTTGGTCGCACCAAGATCTTGTACTTGGGTCATGAAATTCCAGCATATAGATTGAGGTCGGAAGATGCGAAGGTGGCCAGCATACGTGACTGGCCTAGACCTCAGACTGTTACTGAGGTCAGATTGTTTTTGGGGATGACGGGCTATTATCGTCCGTTTGTGAAGAACTATAGTACTATAGCTTCCCCATTAACAGATCTAACTCGACTTGACACCCCATAGGCGCGGTCCTTGCGCAACAGGAAGGGCCCAAGTTGAGACCGATCGAGTATACGAGCAAGAAGATGCCATCTCAAAAGTTAGCTGGGCCCAAGTTGAGACCGATCGAGTATACGAGCAAGAAGATGCCATCTCAAAAGTTAGCTAAGTCCACGTATGAGAGAGAGCTCTATGCACTATACAGAGCGCTAGTCCATTGGAGACACTACCTCCTAGGAAGATTCTTCTATGTGAGGTCCGACCATGAGTTTTGCGCTGGATTAAGACACAGCCTGTGTTGTCAGATGCGCTCAAGAGATGGATTCAAGTGATAGACATGTATGACTATCAACTTGACCCTATCAAGGGTACGTACAACAAAGTGGCTGATGCATTATCGCGAAGGGCAGACTATTTGGGAGCGCTAGTCACTGAGTTTGGCATATCTAACGAACTCACTCGATCGCTGGTGGAAGCCTATCAGGGAGATCCAGTTATGTCAGAGATCATTCGTAGATTCCAAGCAAAGGACAAAAAGACTTTGGACGAATTTACGATGGTAGATGGCTTGCTGTTTCTGGAGAAGGCAGGGAATAAAAGATTGTGTGTCCCGTCTAGTGAGTCTTTACGTAGTTTATTTTTAGGCGAGTGTCATGACGCAACTGGTCATTTTGGATATAAGAAGACCTCAGCTAACCTAGTGCAGAAATTTTGGTGGCCCTCTATGATGCAAGATACAAAAAGGTATGTTGAAACTTGCCAGGTCTGTCAAAGGGACAAACCTAGGACTCAGGCTCCGCTTGGGCTCATCAAGCCCTTGCCGATTCCTGAAGGTCCTGGTCAAAGTGTGTCCATGGACTTCATGGACACTCTTGTGACCAGTAAGTCTGGAAAGAGGCATATCTTCGTGATAGTGGACCGCTTTACTAAATATGCAAGACTGATCGCTATGCCAGAAACTGCGAAAACTGACTATGTCATCAAACTGTTTCTGGATCATTGGGTTAGGGATTTTGGACTGCCCACATCAATAGTGAGTGATAGGGATGTAAGGTTTACCAGTGAACCGTGGCAGGCAACTGCTGAACAAATGGGAACCAAGCTCCAAATGACTTCAGGGAATCACCCAGAGTCAAATGGTCAGGCAGAACAGATGAACCGGGTAGTACAGCACCTGCTTCGGCATTATATTAAGCCAAGTCAGGATGACTGGGACGAGCAGTTACCTCTCGTCGCCAGCCTGTACAATAACGTTGTACATAGTACTACGGGTACGGCTCCCAACCAGCTACATCTTGGTTGGAAACCCAAAACTGCGCTTGACTTTCTGCTACCGGAAAGGCAACCCACTGCAGACCCTGGCAGCATTGAGTATGCTATCAAGTATGAACAGATGCTAGAGAAGGCAGTGGAACATATTAACAAGTCTCAAGATGCTATGATTGCATCTGAGAACAAACATAGACGACCTTCTAACTTTCAGGTAGGTGAGAGAGTCTGGGTGAGGTCATTTGAACTGAGTCAGGAGATAGGGATCTCGAGAAAACTGATGCCACAGTACTTTGGGCCCTGGGAGATCTTAGATATTGTAGGGGATCAACCGGATGGGCCTTCATACGTGATTCGCATCCCTGCACACTTGCGGACTTACCCTCTTTTCCATGCATCCAAGCTGGCACCTTTCGCTGCCACAGACCAGTTTCCCTCTCGGAGATCAATGCTGCCCCCAACCATGGATGGCGAAGTGGACATTGACCAGATCGTCGAGCATCAAGTAATGCCTGTTCCTCGACCATCAGGCAGAGGGCGACCTCCTAAACCGAGAATGTAGTATCGTGTGAGCTTCAGACATCATCTGGATCCTAAAGAAGACCGTGGTTCACACGAGAAGAACTCATGAGAACAGCACCTCAAGTGATCGCAGGCTATGAAAGAGTACTCAAGGGGAAGATGCCTGCAGAATAAGAGACTTCTCAGAGGACTCACGAAGTAAAGGAGGAGGGAATGCGAGGATCAGGGTCCTCGGTAGGCCTATGGGGCCCTGTTTGCCGCATTACCCGCCCTAAGTGAAGGCGGAGGTGCCCGCCCTAAGTGAAGGCGGAGGTGCCCGCCCTAAGTGAAGGCGGGCCTGGCTTGTTGCAAGAGGCCCTCAGCTGTCAATTTCATATTTGGGGTCCAGGCCGTTGCGACGCGCCAGTTGGTTGAAAGAAACACAGGCCGAGCAACAAAGACATTTCCACGGCCTTCCGGGCCTTTCCAAAGAATGCAGGCCCTGGGCGTCATTCGCAGCCTCATACAGAGACAGTTGGGCGCCCAACCGAACTAGGCCCAGCAGCCCAGTAGCTGCTGCATCCAGGCAGCCTCCTGGGGCCTTCCGGAAGCTTCTGGGCCCAGGCCAGCCCAGCCAGGCTGCACGAGCAGGCCAGTTCTTTCCATAAAGGAAAGAGCTCTGGCCAGGCAGCCTCATTCAGGCACTCGCATGCTAGCGGCAGCGCTGCTGGAGCAAAGGCTCGCGGCTGCTGGCTGGCGCTAAGAGGCGGAGGTGCAGCACTTGCGGTCGTGCAGGGAAGAAGGGCGCTGCTGAGGGCAGCGCCATAGCCCAGCCACCATAGCTGGTGGGCTTGGACTGAGGCGCAGGGGTGGTCTTCGGGTGAAACAGAGGACAGACGTGGGTGTAGTCAAGGGATAGGTGAAGGATGATGATGATAATAATGATGTGAGGACACTTACCTTGTATTGACGATGGTCTGCGTGGGCGACATCTTCAAGTACTTCGGGCTGCCGCTGATGTCAACAGTTGCGTTGTCATTTCGTAGTCTGTAGTAGCTGTGTAGGAGTAGGCTGGGTGCTGGGCGCCAAGTGTGAGTGTGAAGGAACTGGACTCTTGTGTTGAGAGGAGAGAGTATGCTCTCCATGAACATTGGTTTTCAGTGCTACGAACCTCCATTGGTATATTATTGGTGCAATGCTGCTCTCTGGGCACGGTGTGACTATCGGGCTTTCAATGTGATGGTGTGATCTGGAATTGTCATCTCGCTGTTGCTTATTTTCCTTGCACTATTGAAATCCATTCAATAAATAGGTTAGGACTTTCCCGCATATAGTGAAGTAATAAGGTCAGAGATTACTCGTCTGACACGGCAAGGCGGCTCAGAGTTCTCAGAGATTATGCTGTGCACATGCTAACTGGAATGTGTCCGTATGCAAACACAATGGCATTCCACAGCTCCTCTGAAGGCAAGGGACACAGCCTGGCCAGATGGGGGGGTGGGGAAGCCAGTCGGCCTGAAACGGCGTAAGCTTCCTTCTGCACGCCTGCATACTGTTCCCCCGATTGATGAATCGGGCGTTTTCATGTGAGGTGAAGAAGGGGAAAAGCTAGCGCATATCCAAAACAAAGGCAGGCAAAGACCCCAACAAGAGTAAAAAGTCAGCGCACACTGGCTGACACACAGAATAGGAACGGCCTAACAGGCCCAGTCACAGACAAGTTCCAGGCAAGCCGGCCCAGTAAAACCTGCATGTTTACCTCTCATGGCCGTTAAAAATGAGACCAACTTTTCACTATCCAGAAGATCACAAGTCAGGGAAATAAATAAATATGGAAAGGCGCCTCAATCCAATCCTGGTATCCATTTCCCCTATTCTGCAATGATAGAAAGAAAATTTGCTTTACAAGTCTTCAAATTATTAAGCTGCAAAAGTAGTCCATTCTATTTGTGAAAGTTCCACTGGGCTGCAAAATTGGTGGTATCAAATCAACACAATTTTTACATACTCCGTGAACACCAAACCGCGCAGCAGGGATCTTTTAATTATGCTGACCTTCAAGCACACAGTATGCAGAGACAACGACACAAACTCAAGAATTCACAAGGGACCTCGTTGAGAATGTTCTAAAAAATTCACCTCTTCAGAATGCTGAGAAAGATCTGGCAACCACCTAGTGCAAACACGTGCTCCACCATTGCTGCTAAAGCAGGACCCTTGTAATTAAGCACTGACAACACACATCGCAGAACATCTTCAATAAGGGAATTATCAATCCCCTTCTCGATGAATGCAACCAGGGCTTTCACTTCGACCAGCGACACATTCTCCCTGCAAGAACACAAAATGCCAGTGCCAAGCAGCATACTGAATAAGACAATCATACCACAATTGGACTGCCCAGTATCTCTTCAATGGAGGATCAGTGAAAGGATTTCAGGCTGCATATGTGTCCCAGTCCTGGTCCCAAAGTCCCAGGTCCTAGTCCTGAGTACCAGGTCATTATCCCAAGTCCCATTCCATGTTCCATTAGTGGTTCAAGCCACTCGTACAATGTTGATGAATACTCTACAAGAGTAGTCTTCGTTAGTACCATGATTGCAGAGGCCTAGGTGGGCTCGTTAAGTAGATTCCAGTAGGAAGTCCCTGGTAGATAACAGAGGGTTGAAGATCTCATAAGACTAATAATAAATGGGTGCCTGTACCTCAAACCGACACAGGTAGGTAGTTTGAGGCCGCGAGGGTTGAAGAGCTCATAAGACTAATAAGACAACTCTCTCCAAAGAACTCGGCAAGATAGCCCCGTAACTTCGGGAGAAGGGTTACCTCCTTACACAGGAGGCCGCGCAGGCGACTGATTACGAAAAACACAGGTCTCCCGCAAAGTCGTAAGACTACGTATGGGGCTGACACCTGCCCAGTGCCGGAAGGTAAGAGTCTGTCTTTAGAAGGCACAACAAACTTCAGCTAGGATCACCAGAGTTGTTAGGCCAGATGTCAGTCGATCCATGCAAGCAGCCAAATCCAAGAAGAGTCCATAAGCTTCCAGAAGCAGCAAGCAAAGAACGGGGGATCAGCAAGTATAAAAGTGTTATGTGCTCAATTAATTCAGAATCCAAGACCATATTCAAATGTTCCCATACACATCTGCAATGACAGGCAGACTGGAGAGAGCAGATTCACACCAAAGCCATGGAGAGAGATTGCACAGCGGAAGCCAAAACCAGATACAAAATTGAAAGAAACTCAGAAACTTGTTTTTCAATCAATGATTAATAGTCCCCCTGCTCTTCTCCTCCTCAATCGAACAGCACAGCACCGGAAGAATCTCAACCACAAATTTAGTTCCACCCTCCATCAACCCCCAAACAGAATCTCCAACGAAGTATCAATAAGTCTCCTCCCTCCCAATCCACTCACTAACACAGGTCTGGCACTCAACGGCAGCAGCGCCCATTACCCTAGTGTCTGTCAGGGATAGGCACTGATCTGGCGGGAGCCAGATACTTATGCTGCAGTGCCCTGAACCACCATGAAAAGGAAGATGAGCTTCGATGTAGATGAAGATGGCTTCCTGCACCACGGCAGCAACCACACAGCAAAGGCCACTTGATGAAGCAGCGCCCAACTTCAAACCTCCAAACAGCAGCACAACGATGAAGAGGAACAAGCAGTTGCAGCCAGCGCAGCTCCGCCCGCGAAAAAAGTCACGAAGCAACCCCAATGAAGAATCTCACTTCGTTCTTTCTGTCTCTGACTCTATCCTTTCTTTGTTAGTGTATGCCTGGTGCTTTCTGTATCACTGTTTTAGCTCTTGGCGCCTTCTGTCTTTCTAAGTGTTTGTGGAAAGCAGAACAGTAATCAGCAATAGTCACAAACAGCAAGGTCATACACGGTCACAAACAGAATACTAAACAGCAACGAATCTTCAACGATTCGAAGAACATTATCATCGTCACCGAGAAAGAGTAGAAAACAGAATCGCTAAACTTAAAATAAAACGGCCACAAACGCCATCCACATATTCAATTTCACCGATTCGATTAACAGCAGGTCAAGTTATGTTGACCGGTCACACCACCCTCA